TAATTACTATCTATGGCTGGTTCTTATCCAAAAACAATTTGGGAACATTTGGGAATTTGTCAAACAACTGCATCCAATAATCAAAACTTTTTCCCATCCACTAAACCCACCCTAAAAAAATTAATTCAAGTCAGGCATACAACTATTTAAAATATCTATTTGGGAAACTTTGCATTTATGTTACAAGTCCAAAACAAATCAGTTGGTATGGAGTTCTGTATCCTTAAAAACACTTCTGGCAGGGTAATATTCAATTATGTTTATATAGGCATGTTCATAGCCTGTTGAAGGTTCTGTCCCATACTTTGCTGCATCAGAGCTAAGTTCTGCAGTCTCATAATAGCTGGTGGTGCCATTGATCCAGAAAGTGGTGCCATGTTAGAAGGCTGCTGCTGCTGCTGCTGGAAAACCTCCTGAGGATGTGGAACATTGTGACCTTGTATACCAATCTGCACACTGTTACCCACAGCCTCCATTTTAGCAGCTTGCACAATTTTTTGTGCTGCCTCAACTGCATGCAGAGGAGGGCCACTAATGACAGATTTTTGCGGCATGACAGGTGGTTGGTAAGGAGGGGGCTACTGCTGAGGAGGTTGCAAAGCTGGATGAGACTGTTCCATTGCTCCAGGGCCAGCGATGCTTTGTTGCATTGTCTGGCTTGGCATGGGAGGTGGAGGCTGCATTCCCTGACGCTGCCTTGCAGCCATTCTTCTGCGAAGAGTCTGGGATTGAGCAAATCTTTGCTTTGTGTGTTGTTGTCTGAGCTTGAGTTTATTGTGTCGGCAGAATGGTACCACACACTCTCTCTCTATGCAGTGCTTTGCATGATAACGACACAAATGAATGAGCGCTTTACAAATGCGACATCCTCCACCAGTTTTGCGTTTGCACGTCTTCTTGTGCTTTAGAACACGCTTCAACCTAGCACAACTTGTCAGTTGACAATTAAGCTCTCTGCAGTGATTGGAATGTACCAAGCTCTGTATACAGCGCTGAATCTTCAATCGTCGTTCTTCCTGCGCGCTGAGTTGCGGTCGTTCCTTATCATCACCTTGTCCTTGTTGTTGATCTATATTATTTTTTCACTTACACAAAATCTGTGATCGATATTCCCTATGCACGCAATCACAAAAGAAAACGCGAAGCTCTTTCGTTCTAACGAGTTTTATCGGCATGAATCTGCAGGACAGCATTGAAGGTATTACCAGAATAAAAAACAAACCGTGCATAGCGCCTGACCATTAATGTTCATCTTCCAAAAAGGTTTAAATTGTTCATCACTTTTTACTCGTTCAGCGATCAAAGTAGCGCTGACTGAAGGTCACGACATCACAGTTCATTAATATTTAAAACGAATACAAAGACACAATAGCGAGTATTAAGAGGAGACTACAAAACGTCCCTCACCAGTCCATTAACGAATTTCCTTGCGAGAAATGGCATATAGACTTTGTAAATGTGACTTCCTGCAAAATTCAATCTTCAGTTTTCAATATGTTGCCCAAAACCATTGTATTTTTGCTAAACCAAAGCTTTTTCGGCATCCCTCCTTCAAAGGTTTGTACAACTTGACAGATTCAAATGCCGTTTTTGAATTACGTGTATTTTTAAATACAAAGACTTTAAAATAATTTTTTAAAATTTTTTTCTTTATTATTGTCAGAAAAACAAGAGGGAAACCGATAACATCGCTGTGAGCCGAAAGAGCGGAAGTGAATGGAACCCACGTCCAAGTGAATTATCCCGGCACTGATAACTCATGGGGATAAGGACAAGGCAGTAGACAGCTCTCTACATAATCGTTTCTGACTCATTCAAAAACTATATAAACCACTCAAAGGAATTCATGGAGTCTGTGATAAGTAGTATTGAATATTGGTGTTCCCGGTTTAGTAACACCGCATCAAGACTTTCAATCTTATTTTCGGACCATTGAAAGCTTCAAGGAATATGATACGACAAACAGGGAAAGAGGGGTATGGAGAAGTACGTGTTTATTAGTGCAGTCAAATGAGGCTTAAGAGAATCTCTCATTGATATCCGAACAACACTTTATGTGCATTTTCCCGCGCTTTTTATCAGTTGAACGTTTTCCCGCGCTTNCACTTTTATGTCTCATCAATGAAAAAGTAGTTACCTGATCCAGTTGTCACAGAAATTTACAGGAAAACAAGATTTTTCAAGATCTAAATTTCAACTCATTCATGAAGATGACAAAAGTTCATGACAGCATAACAAAACATTGCATTAAAACAGCTTGGCTTTTTGTTTAAACAAGTGACTCCCACCATTAAGAAATCAGAAGACAAGCATGAGATCAGCCATACAGAATGAAGCTTATATAAGTGAAACTAATGATATACTTCTCACTCATGCTCATCATGGAAGAATAGCTACCTTGAATGATGTTTTCCTATATCAAATTGCTAGTCACACAACTAAATCAGAAGATGCGCTTATTGAACAAATCAAGAGAGCAATTTATTTTCCCTTTTTCTTAAATCACACGTCCAGATTGTCCACAGCAAATGCGTCTGTGAAAAGATGATGAAATTTGGAAAACCAGTGATAAAAACCTAATTGAAAATACTGAAATTGGGACCTTGAGAAAGCAGGATGGGTCACTGGAAAAATGTTAAGTCTACTCAACCCAAGTATGCTAATACTAATTACTATCTATGGCTGGTTCTTATCCAAAAACAATTTGGGAACATTTGGGAATTTGTCAAACAACTGCAACCAATAATGAAAACTTTTTCCCATCCACTAAACCCACTCTAAAAAAATTAATTCAAGTCAGGCATACAACTATTTAAAATATCTGTTTGGGAAACTTTGCATTTATGTTACAAGTCCAAAACAAATCAGTTGGTATGGAGTTCTGTATCCTTAGAAACACTTCTGGCAGGGTAATATTTAACTATGTTTATATTTGCAATATACCTGGCATCAAATATATCTCAAATTTTCTCTATTATGTATTGTTAAAATGTTTCCAATAGAACTCTTACTATTTTCCATTCTAATTTTAAATGCACACTTACTAATATGACATGAAGAGCACATACTTTAAAATTTCAATCCTTTACAACATCAATTTAATTTGTCATTAGCCTATATCATTTAATATATAATAGTATGTGTGCATATACATATATAATATATATATATATATATAATAATATACATTACTATAACATGCCTGCCACTTTACTCTTACTTAATCAATGACAGTTTCCTGTAAAAAAAAAGAATAGAAAATCTAAGATTTGAAAAAAAATAACAATATATCAGTACTTTCAGTATTTAAGGGGCAAATCTGGTAAAACATCTGAGGAAGTAAACCATTTTGCAGGACACAGCCCTTGAGCAAACACAGTGAACAACTTTCTAAACTATCACAAAAATTCACTTTATCCACAGGTTAATACAACTGTAGCAAATAAAAAAGTTCTTTAAAATGATCATTTAATTCAGATTGTACATCTGGACAATTTGCAAATAACAAATATATATTATACAGGACAAAGACAAACTAACCCTGATTTCTTCATAATTGCAAGAACCAGCTTCCAAAATTGCATCCTAGAACATAAAAATAGTTGTGTTTAATCAAATATATCCTTGAGAAAGGAGCGCAAAAGTTGGAGAGCTATTCTGAGAACAATGAATTTTAGAAATATCATCTTCAAAGTGAGCCGACACAAATTTTTCAGGATCTGAATATTGTTTCTCCTCAAAGTTGGGAAAATGTTTCATATTCTTCTACACCTGAGGATTTGTTGTTGAATGAGAAATATCCTCAAGTTTACATTTTAGTTACTTTTCAAGACCTTTCTCTTTGAAAATGTTGAGATATTAGAAGTACAAATTCATCTTTGGTTACTCATTGGAGAATCCAAGACATCTGGTTGGGTAATGAAGGTTTATTTAGAGTCAGAAAAGGGTTTCAATGAAGAAACTGTGGTGAGTCAGACATCAAAAACTTGTTATGAAGGACGTTAAGGCCCATGGAACAAAATACTACCCCAAATTTGAAAAATTCGAAAACAAAGAAACATCACATACTGTTCTTTTTCCAGTGAGTAGGTACGTGGTTATAAGGCCTTTGCCTTTGACGGGGATGGTTCCTCTACGTTCAAATGTGAAGAATTCATCAAGAAGTTTCTTTGATGCCTCGCTGACCTGTATTCGACCTTTCACACCAGTAGAGTCCATTCTGCTTGCAATATTCACTGTGTCTCCCCATATGTCATAGAGAAGTTTTGTTGTACCAATAACGCCTGCTGTGACTGCCCCAGCATTAAATCCTATCCGTAAATGAAACTCAAATCCCAGCATGTGTTCGTTGAATTTGTCGACAACCTTGATCATTCCCATAGCAAATTCAACAAGTTGCTTCAAGTGGTCATAAGGGTGGGCATCTTTTTTAGCGCAACCTTCTGGGTAAAGGCCAGCCCCAGCCATAAAGGTTGAGCCGTTGACTGTCTTGATTTTCTCTACTTGGCTAAACTGGCTTTTGTCTGTTAGAAGGTCATCAAAGTCACCAACTAGTTCATTCAAAACTCTAATACATTCCTTTCCACCTTCAAAGTTCTCTTCATAGAAGTCAGAAAAGTTTACTATTGAAGCAAAAATTACTCCAACATTTTCATAATTTCTTGAGTAATGGCTTGACAGTTTCAGAGCATCTGCAACATGTTTAGGGAAAATGCTTTCCAGTAACCATGCAGCCTGTTCCTTGTGCATTTGTGCTTTTCGTTTGTCTTTAGGAGCTTCCTCATCTCCATTGAAATTACGTCGTACACTCATTTCCAACTGACGATTTAACACCCACACAAACATCAGAAGTAACCCAATGCAAACCATGATTTCTGTGCTGTAATTCTTATTTCCTCCAGCCAGAGGTGCACAAAAGTTAGAATTGTCAGAATTGAGCAAAATAATGTATGTAATAAAAAATGCAGCAGCCAGTCCAGTCTTCATCCAAGATGTAAGTTGAGTGAAATTGCAGAAATGTAAGAGTGCGACAGCAAATATTAAAGAGTAGAATTCTCTTTCCCTTGTAGAATGGACCTCACAGTTCACTAAGTTTGCAAAGAGAGTTCCCATTGGAAGACACATTAAAAGAGCTCCTATAAGATGGTTTGTGAACCAGCCGCAAATGTAACCTACCATTCTGTGTATACATACAGAACACAAATGTGGAAATGCTCTGGCAACTGTCAAGCAGAACAATGTTATTTCAATAACAATTGAAATTGGTGACAGAACCTTTACTGCCAATGGAACAGGTTTGTTGTAGAGCAGGAAGCCTAAACACATTATAACTACATAAATAATGTTGGAAAGCAAGACATCTAAAAAGAAGTTCACTCTGGGAGATACAAATGTTGTCACTGAAGGGTTCAACAATGTACAGTCCTGACCTTCATTCTGATATCGTTTCTCAGTTTCTCTGTCATGAAACTGTAGTGTGCAAGGGTTCATTGACCTGTGGAAGTACTCATCACTAGTTCTCTCTTGACTCATCAACTTTACAAGTTGCTGGTCATTGTTTGTTCGCAGAGCATCTCTCATTAATGCTTCATTCAGGGACAAGCCCAAAACTTGTGGAGAGCGTTGATCCCCTGACATCCTTCTATTTGACTCTTCATCATCATCATCAGATCGGATTGAAGTTCCACTACAGTAGTCCATTTCAATGGCCTCATGCTTAACTTTCAGGTTGCCTTTCAGGATTTTGGGACCATTGTCAGAGCTTGACTCACCTTGGCTGGAAATGTTAGAATCAGAGTTAACCATCACATCTGAGGAAGTAACCTGTTCAGAGATCTTGACATGCTTCTTGTTTTCCTGTGGACTACTGTAATGAGAAGCATTCTCATTCATGCTGACATTAATGGAGTTGAGGTTTGCTGGTTTCTTTTTTCGTCCACTTGGGTGAAGCAGATGCATTGGTTTCTTCATACCATTCTTACGACCAACAATGAAGTAGGTCTTAATACCTTCCAAGCCTTGATAACGTGAACTAGCATTACCATCTTCCACAATATAGTGACCATAAAGAAAGTCGAGCGTCGTTGCAGTGATATGCACACGTCCAGGGAGACCAGCTGTTTCCATGCGGTTTGCTAAGTTTACATCATTGGACCAAACATCAAATTTGAAGCGTAGCGAACCAACAATGCCACAAAGAACAGTCCCTGTATGAACGCCCACTCTCATGTCAACCTCATTCTTGGTGTCCTCGTCAAATTCTTTGATTTGTTCCAACATGTCCAGTCCCATCTCCACACAATTAACTGCATGATAGGCTGTCGCTTCAGGGCATCCTGCCACACAATAATAACAATCACCAAGGGTGCTGATTTTCTCACAGTTATTGATATCTGTGAGGCGATCAAAGCGCCCAAAAAGATCGTTCAAGAGCCTCACTAATTGCTCTGCAGACTTATCGGAAGACATGTTGGTGAAGCCAACGATATCGGCGAAAAGAATGCTGACATTCTCCATGCGATGCATCTGAAACGGCCGGAAGACCATCTGGCCTTTGTTTCGTCGTTTTTTCTTACCGTTTGAACTGTCTTTCGGATCTTCCTCCACTTCTTCGACCACATTAAGCAGCTCTTTGGCCACTAAATCCGGCATTACTGATCGGATCATCTGTTCTTTCACCTGTTTTTCAATCTCCAAGTCGAGACGAGCAACGACGCATTGACCAACCTTCCAGAAAGTGCTTCTCTCTCGCACTTGGGCCATGAAAAATATTTGGATTCCAAACAGATGAATGCACATGTGCAAAATTAAACGACAGATGATATCCTTGGGCCGGCTGTCTCTTCCCTCTCCGTCAGTGATCACGTCGGAGAGAACTTCGTGAGCGACAGAAAAAGCCACTGTCATTAATATGCAGATGTACAAATGAAGCGAGTGGATCATGGTATAAATCAGCATGATAACACATGTACACATACAGAATCGAGCCGGGTTCGAGAGAGCTGTTGGCAAAGCGAAAAGGCAAAGTTCCATGGCGATCAGTAAAACAGATGCGAGCAACGAAACAAATGATGCACATTTCTTGTACTATCTGCTGAATTTAGTAAACAGTATTAGAGAGATCACCAACAACAAAAAAACGCCATCTCCTACTAAGATCTGATAGCATTCACGCTTACGAACCGCAAAAAATATCCCCCAGATGACACAAACGAAGCATACAAATACGAGAGCGTGGACGAGACGCCTTTGGTTGTGAGAAGTGAAACGCTGAAACTCTTCTTCCAAAATTTTCGAATCAAATGATGGCTTCCACCATTGAGAAGAAGCTCGCTCAAAAAGCAAGGGAATACAACCTTTTTTCGAGCGTGTATCAACCTGTGAAAAAGACCTCTCTTTTTTAACCGCAGCGAACGAGGGTTTTAATTCGACGCTCATGGACTCTGGATCTGTGCTGATAGAGTACCCAGACCTTTCCTCGCCAGCCATTTCACTATCCAAAGAGAGACAGCCTGCTTTTCGAGGTTTCCCCGGTGTTGATCACCTAACTAAATCATCTCTTTAGCGTCTTCGAGTCATTTTAAGAGCTATCGGTACAACAGGACCTCAACCACTACCCTATCTGACAAGTGTTCTGCTTCCTCGTCATCAAAGGGAATTCAGGGATATCCAGGGCGAAAGCACTTAAATTCAGCGGCTCTAACCTTTGGCACATGAAGAGAATATGTACGTTGAATGCGAGCTCTCTTTTTTTCCGAGCGTATATCACGTGATCTATAGCTACACGTGACATCATTTGGTGTCGTCTAAGTGGCTGTGAGGCTTTCCGTGTTTTAGGTTTGATGTAAAAGGACAGCCAGTTGAACATCTAACCTATTTTTAGCAAATTCTTCGCATTGTGGTCATGCATACTCAAACTACTTGTACTTTCGCTGGAAACAAATAGGTCACTAATGCTGGTTCAAATTTCAATGATTTTGTAAATTGAACACCAAGATCATGACTAAGGTCATGGGTTTAAGAAAATACATGCGTAACGAGGGAAGCGAATTGTAAAAATATACGAACACAAATAGGGATGGCCTTCGACAGAGAAACAAACTGAAATATGCAAATCTATCATGTCAGCTGAGATCTTGACATCCTCCCCCCACGGACTTGGAGTCATCGCTGTCGGGGTAGGGAGGGGGAGTTCTGGAAAATAGCTAGGATGATGCTAATTTGCACTAAGTGTGATTGCAAATAAAAAGAGTTTGGCGGATAAGTAATTCTGTTACATCACATCCAGTCTCAGGGTGAGAAACTCTTGAGATCCTTTTAGTTACTAATGGGAGATTTAAAATTCACAGGGTGTGAGGAAAAATATTTGAAATGCTATTAAGGAAAATATCATGCGTTAAAGATAGTTAGACACGAAAAACAAACAGTAAACTTTGTCCTCAAGCTAGGACAGATCTTCGATGAGTGATGAAAAAACAACTTCATGCCTAAATAAAGCAACAACAAGCAAAAGCTCGAAGAGTTTCTTATGAAATCTTTAGAAAAATGTTATGCCGAATTGGCCATGCAGTTGTAACGGATACAGGACTTTGCAAGCTTACTAAGTAAATACACTAAATGGTAAGTGTAGCCGGCCGTAGATGCCTACCTTTCGCTCTGCGTACAAAGTTGGCATGAGCCTTGGCACCTGCAGCTGCCAAAAACTTGACAACTATGAATGTTACTCAGGTGGAAATGAATTGCATTTTGTGCTGACGGAAACTCTAACGGCTAAAGAAGCAAAACATTCCTAACATTTGAAAGCAAACAACAACGCAGCAACAAGAAGCAGCGAAGAAGTTTTACAAACATCATGATACATTAACATAAGAGATGGTATTTTGATCGGCTGCGAGGGCTTAGGGACGAATGAAAGCTTTGAAAGAAAGCGCCAGTACAGCTAAGTTTAGTGAAGTGCCTCTCTGATCTCAGCTATAGCGTGCATGATCTTAGCTAAGTAACTTTCTTCGAATAAGAATAAAATCTGGAAAGGTCGTTATAACACTTTTAAGAACACAAAACGGATAATGAGTTTCAGAACTACGAAGACAAGAGGTCCTCATTAATAGGGATTGAATTAATGTTTTTCTCCTTTTTTACATAAAAGAAATGTTAATCACTTTCTTTTGAGGACAAGATGAATAAAAGTTAAATAACTCATTCTTTTGACGGTAGACCCCTGTGGATTGATCCGCGCGCCCAAACGTTCCTCTTCGATAAAGCTGACCAAAGCAGGAAGATTGTTTTGGCTTTGGAACTGAGCCCAGTCCCATTTAGTGGTTCCTCCTTCAGCTCCATCCTGTTTGTTTGGGCTTAATGATCTTGACATTGGCGGTGAAATCGAAGGTCAGTGATATGAAACGTTGCTATATTTTGCAGAGATGAGGGATTTAAAAATACCATGAAAGCAGAGAACTGCGAAAAAGCTGGCTCAGTTTCAAACTGAGGTCGCCAGAAATAGACAAGTATCTGCGAAAATAACTTAAATGACATATAACCTAGTAAAGGCTCAGTGTCAAGCTAAGATTTTTTGTATATATTAAAAGCTAAGATTTTTATATAAATATTATCAGGAACTATATCATTCTTTCAACGAAATAAGTCTTGTTTCATTACTGAGGTATATTTCTGTGGTAAGGTTTTTCTCCTTGTGCAGGGGCATAGCAAGTTTATGACGTCAGAGGTTGCATGACGCAGCACTCAGAGCAAGGTTGATCCTCTCTTAATTGAAATCATGGCCAAAAGGAAGATTGTGTCAGTGTATATTTCCCTTCATCTTCTGAGTAGTGTACGAGATAATCTAACCAGCTCTGAGGAATGGGGAGCCCGGGTGAGACCTGAACAATAGAACAGAAGTGTGGTGTTGCGGCTTAATGCTGTGGAAACTTAAGGTATTATTTCTGTCATTTCATATGCCTTTATCTTCACACAATCTAAATTATGCACTTTGATCCCTTTTACGCATACCGGAGCCAATAACTTAACTTAGCTGACGTTCCCCTTTTAAGGGGAACGATTGCAGCTGATTTAAAAATCAGCTGCAATCCTGTTTTACCACACTCAAGTGTTACAGCCAAAGCTGGCTCACATGCAAGATATATTATTATGCTCCTGTTATCATTCTATAAATTCCCTCACAATCCATCTTATTCCCAAGCCCTATTCTCGCCACCCTTGAAGTACTTAACTTCCTGGTTGAATGAAGAGAGAGGGCCCTAGGATCGGAACGAATCAGTCCCTTAAAACACGGAAAAAAAATCCTGTCATCTTTTTTATAGAATGAAATCAACATCATTTTGGATAATGTGAAAGTTTTACCTGATTTTTTCTTTCGATTCTTTTTAAAGCCTTCTCGAATTCTCCTGATGAAATTCGCTTGCTTGAACCGGAAATTAGTTTTAGCGGAAATGACGTTAAAATGTTCATTGAAGCCCAGACCTCCGCTCTTGAACACCTGCGATGACCGTCTGTTCCCTTTTTCCTGAATTTTGCGAAGCCAAACATCGAAATGTTAGTGAAAATGCCGGCATGATGAGAAGTTTCGATTCCCAGTTTTTCGTCTGCGTTCATTTTAAATGTTACCAACCTTTATATCTTTCTTTTAGGTCGAAAGTAACCTTCAAAATTACCTTAACTTCGGATCCGAAATTGCCATTCAAAGTGTACGTTGAAACTTATTTCTGACCCGGTATTAGTAAGTTTCTGTTAAATGGGATATAACCTTTGAATTTTCCCCAGTGATTGTCGTTGAAATTCTATTTACAGACTTAGTGTTCCAGAGGGAACGCCGTTTACAGCAGTCTTGAAATTCGCCGCCGAAGAGGTAAGTTATCCGTATCATTTTCGAGGTATCCGTCCTCAATGAATCCTGACAGTATGCAACACATGACTTCAGTTGAAACAAGCTGTTCATGTAAAGATCTGATCCACTATGTTGACAAATGCTGATCTTTATTATTCCCCTTTCTATTTTTCATTTTAAGTTCAAGGTTCCTCCTGCCACTAGTGCAATTATCACAAACGGTGAGTAATTTTAATTTGCTCTTGGAAAGTGTTCTTTAAATGCTATATTAATTCTAGAGAATATTGTTGAATGCTGTTAACCAGCATCATAGACCCTGAAACCACGGTGCAAATTTCCTTGCCATCTTAGCTGGATCTGTTACTGCAGGAAGCAAAGATGTTGTGATCATGGCTGGACTTGGCTATGGTGATGAGAACTGTGGCAAGGTTTTTTCAATATCACAAAACAATTGAACCTGTCTTTCTTAAGCAAACACCCAGGAGTCCCTTGTCAGTGTTCGTTTTATACAGAGTGTCTCGTTAATACAAGTTCTAGCTAATAACGCACAATAATATGTAACTAGTAGTTTGGGCAAGAAACCCAGAAGTCATCTCAGTTGGCTTATGGGGATAATCAATCCTTCAAATGGAAGACGAATCTGGTCCAGTCTTGGACTTACTGGTTTAAAAAAATTATTCCAGATAATTAGCTTTCTGTTAACCCTTTAACTCCCAAGATCTGATTGTTAATCCTCCCATCTAGCTGCTACAAGTTTCCCTGTAAATGAGTTGTGAGGGTTAAGTGTTAGATCAAGATAACTCCTGCCTGATAAGTTTGAGTATTCTTTTTACCTGTTTGCAGAACAATGTTTGGATTTTACGGGAGAAATTACATGTTAATCACTTCAGGGAGGCAAAGGGTAGTAAGGTAATTGATAGTTGAGAAAAATGTGCAGGGAATCTTTTTCTTTTCCAGATGGTATTGGCATAAATCCGTCACAAAGTGCAGGTGAATAGCCTATCATGTATAGCCTGTAAATTCACACTTGATGTTTCCTCAGCCAACTTCCTCCCCCCTCCTTCTCTGCCCCCCCCTCCACCCAACAAGCAACCCCCCCTTCTGGATGATCCCAAATGATAGATTGAAAATTAATGGCATAACCTCTAGGGTTGTATTACACAAGCTGTTTGGCCCCAGCCCTGCTTTTAAGGAAAAACTTTCTAACAAAAATGCTTGTAACCACCCTACACAATAACATGGGCAGGGCTGCACAAACCTGCTCAATCTGCCAGGTGAAGAAAGGAAGAAAAAGATGCACAAAACTTGAACCAAAAATTTTTCTTTCCAGCTCTCCCACTCACATACACATATCTAATTAACCAAGCGTGAGGGCCATACAGGGAGAATATAGGCCCGAGGTCTTGACAGTATGGACCGAGTGCAGCAAGGTCTGTACAAAAAAGACTGAGGGCCGATATTCTTCCAGTACGGTCCCAAGCAAGCTTGGTTAATAAGAGATTTATTATACGACTGAAGTTCAAAGGGACACAAGTGTAGTATCATTCGGGACCATTCGGGACAGTGCCCAGTCCAATACTTAAAGAATATTGGACTGGCAATAGAGCATTTTGATTGGTTGATTTTAGTTATTGGCCCTCTGACTGCCCGAGTCGTGTAATAAATACACATTATTTCCATCTCACTTCAATTAGGGAATATTTAACCCCAACCTCCCCCTGTTTTCCTCTCCTCTCTTCTTCCCGTCTTGTCCCCTCTCCTCTCATTGATTAAACTAACATGAACCTTCAATCATGTTAAGGCAAAAAATGCAAGTTTTGTGGAAGCATAATCCAAGGATTTCTTGAGTGAGAGGTTGTTGACTATTCTAAGAGTTGGCCTCTTTTTTCATAGTTAATTTGCAACACTATAGAACCAGAGAGGAGTCAAATTCTTTGGCAGAGGAGTTTTTCTTCAGATGTGTCTTAGATGTAGACTTAAGCCTGATTACGCTTAATATTTACCTACTGTGTGCTGTGGTAGTACTGAAAATAATTAAGTGAAGGACAATTTGCCTGACTACAACATGCTTCCAACCTGTTGTTGTTTCATAGGAAACGTGTTCTTAAAACATGGATCAGACCTAAGGATTATTCCAAGAGACAGAGTGGGAAGCAGGCTCATATCAGAAGAGAGGACACTGAATTTAGACTTAATAACCTGAATAAAATGCATTTTGCCCACATTAAAAGGCTCCTGAAGTGTTTACATACAAATACAAAGGAAAACAACACATCCACTGAACATGTGATGCTCGAAATTAAATGTACTCAACAAACCCCAAAAACTTTTAAATATCTGTCAAGTAAATATTTTTTTGTACCTATTTGCCCAGGTTCAAATATTTTCATTTTTTGTATTCAGTAATTTTTAAATGTGCAGTGTAATGTTGTTTTTCATGTTTCCAAGAAGCAGTGACCTGACCAATGCCCAAAACCTTATAGAGTGCGTCAAAAGCGCTGGGCACTCTGAGCATTGCGAATGTCATCTGTGGCATCCATGACATCTAAAGGACAAAAACAAATTGGACTCCACGCACAGTATTGAAAAAACCAGGAGAAATATTTTAAGTGCAATTGGCTATGAGTGCGAGAACAAAGGATCAAGAGGAGAGAGTCAGGATCCTTGCATCTAGGTTTATATCTTAGTAGAAATAATAAACAAGAATCAATAACTCATTATTGCATTTATTATTTCAACTTGAACATCATCTTGAAGCCAGGAGGAGCAATTAAAAAAATCCACTGAGGAAACATCTACAGACAACATCACTACAATTCATTCCCAGAAATATCTCCACAAAATTCAATTATCCTTTAATCAAAAACATAGGAATTTCAGTCCAATATTTGAGCAGTTAAGCTTTTTTCTTATGTACAATTGAATTGAAGTATTGAGTAAAATTCAGACATTGCAGTGTGCACAAGTATGATCAATAGCAGCCCAACAATTGAGGCATATTTGCATTTTCAGTGAGGATCAGTCATCCTGGAATTGAAACAGAGAATGATATAAGGGTTAAAATAGTACATTGATTTTTGATAGAACTTGAGGTAATAATATTTCTTTATTACACCACTCGGGCAGTCAGAGGGCCAATAACTAAAATCAACCAATCAAAATGCCGTATTGCCGGTCAATTTTCTCTCAGTATTGGACCGGGCACTGTCCTGAATGATACCGCACTTGTGTCCCTTTGAACTTCAGTCATATAATAAATCTCTTATTAACCAAGCTTGCTCGGGACCGTACTAGAAGAATATCAGCCCTCGCTCTTTTTTGTACGGACCTCGCTGCATTCGGTCCATACTGTCAAGACCTCGGGCCGATATTCTCCCAGTACGGCCCTCGCGCTTGATTAATAAGATATATCTCTTACCCATTCATCATCGTCCACTCCTTCTTGAAGATCTTGAGGCAGAGGATCATCATCAAAATTTCCTAATTTGTCCACCATAGAGTTCAAAAGCTGAAAATGAGTATAGAAAACAAACTTAGTTTTCAGCCTGATTAAAAAAAGGGAAAATCTCTGTAAAGAACTGCAGAAATAACAGAACCACTTTCACTTATCTAAGCAATATTTCTTTTTCTAGGTAGCAGTTTGTTTCACTTACTTCTTCTTTCTGCTGTTCAACAGACTTCACTTCCTCCAGCTCATGTCGGCTGTCATACTTCCTGGCAATAGGAGCTTGTTTGGGTGCTTCACTCACTATAACAGACAAGGAGAGGAAATAACAGCTATGAATCAAAAGAGTAATGTCGAGCCAATAACAATGAATAAGTATCATTGTTTAGGTGATTATAAAGATGCACACTCACAGAGGTCAAGGATTGTGTGATATTTTACTATAATCACCTCATGCAAGGTGATCATAGCAGGGTAGCTAGATTCCAAAATACTGCCTTGCATATTATCAATGTTACTGAAGACATGATAAATGCAGTAATATTATAGTAGAAAATTCAATTTAGAATAGTAAAGAAAAGACAGAAAAGAAAAAGAATAGAAAAAGAGCTAACCCTGAAGTGTAATTTGATTTATACAGTATGCAGTTCTTTATAATCTTCCTCCCAGTGGTTGATAATAATAATAATAACAATAACAAATAACACTGATAGTTAAAATAAACAATTACAATTATAACGGTAACAACTAAAAGCATAATAATAAACTGATCCTCTCCAGACATCTGCACATGAAGAAATTGCAGCAAAGTAAGCCTGAAAACAAAAAAAACACAGGCTTTGACAGGTTCAAACCTGGGTTTCTCAGGTACTAGATGAGCACTAGTACCAACTGCACTGCAAGCCACATGTTGGGACTAGGGCAAATTTTTGTGGGTTTGTTCTCCATCAAGGAATCTAATAGCAAATGAAGTAATACACATTCTGACCTGTAGAAAACAGTAATAATGAAAACTGTTTTTTAATAGCAATGGTTTACACACATGGTTTCATGCCATCTGGTCTGACTGACATTGTTTTCTGTGTTTTATCTTCACCAGCAAACCACTGATCACTAGTTACTGAAGGCTCCCACCATACTCTGGTGTCTGGGAAAAGGTCATCTTGAAAGTATTCCATCTGATAGTGAAAAGGAAAGTTCAATCATAACTGACAGCTGCTACTGTAAATTAACTGCTAGATATTACCATTATCAATAAACATTTATCAGATAGATAACAAAACATAAGAGAGTACTAGCCTTGACTCGAGGAACTTGGAATGTAATGTAGTCAATTGATGTCTTGTTCAACTTAACAGCTCTGGCAAACTCCACTTGCTTTATATCACAAACAGTCTTTGGTAGAAAAGCCACTGCCTGTTGAAAATGAGGATAAGAACTAAGTCTTATGATTTTAATTTCAACTAAAATGAAAGAAGATAACAAACCTATAAATTGACATTGTGTCTTAAGTATTTATGCTCTATGGTAACTTATAGGTGGTTTCCAGAAATATCAATTTCAATCAATTAATGATATCAATATTACTAAAATAGAAAGTTATAGGTCATTATTAGTAGTCTGATTTCATGGTGTCTACATGTGTTATTAATTCACTGCACTTCTTAATGAGGATCAATTAATCAATCCTTTATTTAAACAAGTGACACCTAGGAGTACAGAAGTTCTTGTTAAAACGTGTACGTGTATGTACAATTAGAAAGAAAACATAATTTCTGTGAGAATACAAATAATAAATAGATCTATTAAATAACTAAAAACAGGATCGAAGATCATAGACAAGAGCTATCAACAAAAATTTACAATATTAACAATATTAACAATAACAATATTTACAATCACTACCGCTAAGCCATGTGGGCTTTAAGAGAACGCTTGAATGAAACAATATCTTGAGATTCTCTGAGTTTAGGGGGTATCGCACTCCAAAGTTTACTAGCTAAAAATGAAAATGACCGATGTAAAAACTCAAGATTAAAAGGAGGTAAATCTAGCCTTGTATTGAACCCACGTAAACTGTACGGTACATTTCTAAAATTAAAAAAATCACTTATATATAAGGCGCTCCCTTAAAAAAAAAAATGAGATTATTGTGCTATAAACACAGTTGACTTTCAGTTTCCCGCTCTCTAAATAAGCAAATCATTCCCGCTCTCCAAATAAGCAAATCATTCCCGCTCTCTAAATATTAAGCAAATCTTCACCTGGTAAGGGTCCTTCGTCCTGTAGTGTGATAATTCATTCAAGTGAGGTGGCTCATCAGTGACTTCAAAAGCAAATATTGTAGTTTCACCCTGAAAAATTACATGACAACGTAAGCCATTGTTGCTAGTTCAGCCTATGTATCTGGTTCGAGGTGAAATATACCAAAATGCGACTTCCTTAACCATAAATTCAAATAGTCTGCTTAACAAGGTATGGCTCCATCTGTTGGCTGTCACGACGCCTATTTATCTGACTGATATGTAAATATTTCCTTGCACCACCTATGCCTTCACTTGTTCAAACAACCTCTCGTGTAGTTATATATAATTATACAAATTAAATTGCAAATACAGGTGACTCCTCGTCACTGCCAAGGTTGTTGACATGGTTTATTATATAGCTGGCAGTACCCTTGGAAAATATGCAGTAAATCCTGTTATCTGATTGGCTACCTGAGTGGGAAAGATGGGCCCACTCTGATCCTGCACAAAGAAAAAAGTGTGTGGAGCAGACTTATAAAGTTTGTAACTTTTGGTCAATGTGGGCAATGAAGTTGCAAAAAGTGGCAGAGGACAGTAAAAAAAAAAGTGAGATTATTGTGCTATAAACACAGTTGACTTTCAGTTTCCCGCTCTCTAAATAAGCAAATCATTCTTGATTCTTATTAGAGTGAAATCTTTCTGCTATATTATAAATCCCTTGTTGAATAAGCTTGTTTGGTCAAGGTGGCTGGATATAATTATCCTCTTTCTTTTTTGTGTTTTATGGACCTGACTTTGTTTCAGTCCATAAAAACAAAAACAAAAAGAACTCAGCCAGTATCCAGTCATCTTGACCTCACACTTCGTCAATAATACATATAATTATATTGTATACCTTAGCAGAAAGAAACAAGACAGAGGAGTCTTTGTCATAGAATGGTATCAAGGTGGCAGGAGCAACATCCACCTCCACTGATGACAAATCTTTAGACAGATCACGACTGTCAAAAACACTAATGGTCCTCACACTTGATCTTATACAGAAAGAAAAAGAATTAGATTACCCTCAAAGAACTAAGCCTGCAAACAAGCCATTAAGAAAAGTCAGAAAAAGTCAGAAAAAAAAAAGTACATTGCAAACAAGCAAAAACACTACTAATGAAAATCCTCTAACAAGCCCCCCCAGGGGGCTTATTTATTTCAGGTACTTTGGGGGGATGGCCTATTAGAGGGGGGAGGGCTTAATAGAGAGGGGGCTTATTAATTTAGTGTGGAGGGTTCTCAATAAGTTTTGATGTAGAAGGCTGAAATATAAAAGTAGGCGGCGGGAGAAGTGAATACCAGAGGCACGAGCCTCTAAGGGGGTCTTGCAGCATGCTCCCTCCCCTCCCCCCTCCGAAAAACTTCAAAATATAGAAGGTTAGATTTGCCATTTTGAGCCTTTTGGCAAGCAAATTTGGTTTTAAGAAATAATTATTTATTAGAAACAACCATAAATTTTACTGAACATCTTTCTTTTCTTGGAATCCTTATAATGGGACCNGATCCGTACTAAGCGAAAAACAAGAAAAAAAGAATCCTATTTTGGGCATGGTCTACCAAAAAGGGCAGTAGTCCATTAAAGTAAAGGTTTTATAGAACGTTATGGCCATTCAAGGCAGAAAATATATAAATAGAAACTCCTTTTGTCACTGTTTCTGTGTATTGATTTGAATTAGTTTCATTCTCTCAAAAGTGGTTGAAACAATTATTAACACAGAGTTAGCTTGACTCAGCATTTGGCCATGCTAGAAAGAACTAAAATGCCAAGTCATCAGTGTCAGATCCAAAAGCGGAGTCAGAGTCACAGTCAGTGTCACTCTCTGAACCTTTTGATTGCAGATTAAGGGCCTCTAGAACTTCATCAAGGTCTTCCTCATTTACATTTTCAACATGCTCTCTATCTGCAGTTGTACCACTCTGAACAGCAATTGTCTCCTCCCTTTCACACTGCACTCCCATTTCCTTTGTTTCACACTGGACAATCACCAGAGATGGCTGTTTTCTCACCTTCATCTACTTGGCTTTCCATTCTTCGTGATTTACAGAAATATCGATCTATTCCAGGCTGGCTTGAAGTGGGTTTTCTTTTACTCATGGGTACTCTATAATTAATTACATAATAAGAATTGCTGCCTTCTTCTAACACGCCGAACGCCACACTGCACTTGTTGACAACAAACACTGGTCAGCTGAATTTCCCACAAGGGAGGAGGCGCGCATTGGCATTGCGTAATATGTTTTGCTGCTGAAAACGGCTTTCAAGTATTACTCATTCGATTCACGGGACTTTTAACTTTGAAATCTAGGTGTAGATACAAAACAAGGAGGCAAGCTTATCACCTAAAAGTAGGCGGCTCTAAATTTAAAGTAGCCAGTTTTTTAGCTGGCTGCTGGCACTTAATGAGAACCCTGAGTGTGATGTTCACTACCAGGATACAATAGGATGTGATGTACGGTATTTATTGAAAAATCGTTCACATTTTACATTTTTTTCATTTACCAAATTGGCAGTCAGTCCTCAGTAAAGTCTGATGAGTTTTATGATTAAATTACAGTACTTGAATAAATTTACCATAGATATTGACACAGAGTGTTATTTTAAAATTTTTTTGAGGGGGAGGGGTAGGGGAGCTTAATAGAGGGAGGGGCTCAATAAATTTCTCTAAAGGGGGGCATATCAGAGGGGGTGGCTTATTAGAGAGGAGGGGCTTAATAGAGGATTTACCGTACTTTTCGAAATGTCAGGCTCCACTACCCACAACAGTCCTTCTCAGGACTACACTCACCCAGACAATCAGACTACACTATCACTGCTGCAATTGTGAGGTAAAAATTATGCACTCTAATGGTTATTTAGATATCCTGAAGTAAGTTTGTGGTTACTTTAAGATTACAATTTTTTGTCTTTATGGTGAGGTGTGTAGAATGATTAACTTACTTGCCAAATCCTGTAGTCACTAACAAATCAGCACTTGAACCTCCCCAGAAGACACGAGCTCCACGGCTCCCTTCAGGACCTTGGCCTGTCTAAAAACAAATAACTTTTTCATTAAACAAAAATATTAATAACAATATAGTGCTCATGCTCAATTCTAAATCACAAAATAATTAAGTATAGGCAGGTTGAAAATAGTTCTCTAGTATTAAATGAGGGCACCATCAAAGACAGATCTCCTTACCCCCCACATTATATTTTTAAGTGAATAATACCTGCAGAGGAAAAAGTTGAGATCTTGGGTCAAATATTCTGATTTTGTTGTCTCTTGACACAGTGGCTAGCTTTGTTCCGTCTGGTTTCCAACTCAAGCTAAATACCTGAAAAAAACCTTTTGATTATCAAGTTGCTTGACTATTCGATTTTTTTAATTCTTTTCAATCATAAGCTCACTTAGTATACTTACATTTATTTTTATCATAAAAAGCTAGCAACCATTGGATCAAAAGTGCTATCATAGTGATGAAATATTTGTTTGGTGTCACTGGTTCAAAAGTGTTTGTCAAAATTTACAAAGGTATTCATGATAAATTTTTCTTTTTTGAAATTTTATTGCACATTTAGTTCCTTGGATGCTCGGCTCTGCATCCTTTTATGATTGTCATAAAACACGAGAATTCACACTTCATCCCAGAAGAGAAAAGAAATAGGAAATAGTGGTTTCTTTGACAGCAGATGTAGCAGTAGGTGTTTAGGATCCTAATTACCGAATCAGTATGTCCAGTAAGTGTGATTAGATCTTTGGCTTTCTCAACATCCCAAATCTTGATAGTTAAATCCATAGCTGCTGATGCCAAAACACCACTTGCAGTAGGATGATACTTTACTAAGTTTGGTTTGTCATTATGACCTGTGATGTTAAAAACAGAAAAAGAAGAAACAAAAAAAATTAATGGATTTGTTTAAATTTTGTATCACAATATAATGGTTTATCGACCAGTGAATTTTGGGAAGGCATCAGGTTAAGTTTGGTTGAGTGGTTTATTATCCAGCTGGTTGGTTTACAAATAGTCATTCCACTAATTTATTCATTCCACTAATTTATTCATATTCATATTTCATATTCATATTGCTAATTTATTCATTATTCATATTTATTCATATTAATTTATTTCATTCCACTAATTTATTCATATTTTTCTCGTTGCCATGCACCCACCAATAACGTAGCTCCATTTTCTGCCTTTAAAAGCACACACAACCCACAATTCCTCTATTCGCTCCGACGAAGGGCTAACGCTCGAAACGTCAGCTTTTGTAATCATTACGGTGGCCAATTTACCATTTCAACTTTGTTGATATATCCAAATTATTTCGTTACTCCCACCGACGCAGCCCCAAACAGTTTCTTTCGAAACTATCAGCCTTTATTCATTT